CAGTTTTTTATAACAAAGGTTGTTATCTATAAACAAGGCCACTCCACCTCCCGTCTTATTATCTCTATTTGTGCAGACTAAATCATAACCAGCCAAGTGAAGGTCGGTTCCTCTTACATTATTAAACCATGTTTCTGAAAAAGCAATTATATTAAAAGAATGTGTAAGACTACTAAGATAATGTTTTATACTCTGAAAGTTTGCATATAAACTTCTGCTATTAAAATGAATTAATGATAAATTATTTTCAGTCTTAACATTGCTGTTAAACTGCTCATCCGAATAATACTTGCAGTTATTTTCAGAGTTCACAAAAAAGTTTATTTCTGGGTCAAAATCTTCGTCCGGTTCATGATGTTGACTTTCAGAGTTTCCAGATGTGTTCAGCTCCAAATCCAATTCGTCAAAAGCTTTTAACTTATGAGACAAATCACTTGCCTCGTTCAGTACATGTGTCACACTTACTGTATGTTATGGCAATGATGTGTCAGGATTGTGTTTGCGTTTGTGTTCTTCTGCACAACTGTCAGAATTAGGTTATGCATCTATAAGCGCATGAAACTACTCAAGGTGTTGTGTTAGTGGCCAAACTGGTGATAGAAATATTGAATAAAGGTGTTAATGACAATTACTATACATTAAACAAATAAAGAAGAAAGTGTCTGCCATACTTACTTGTTCCTGATGATGAAGTAGCCCTGTAGGATTCTGGCTCACTTCTCACTCTTCATAACCAAGCCACATCAAGCTGAATTAAATCCTGAACACCATGCCAGAACAGCTGCTTCAAGTACAAGCTGCATCTTATGGTAGGTTTTATGTGCAAAAAAAAAGTACTCGTCATACATCAACTCTGACAGATAATATTGACACAGCTGCCTCCAAAACAACATCAGCCCCAGGTGAAGAGGCTGACGTAGGCCACCCTTCAAAAGAACACAACAGTGACAGGTTTACGCTGAAGCTTTTACGACTGAGTTTAACTGAAACTGTGCAACTGTCAAAGCCATATATTTTTACCTTTATTCATTAACTGTCTCTCTCAACTGTCAAGGGTTTTTTTTTTTTTTTATCTGTCTCAGCTTCACCATCCTCTCTAAATTTATTCTGGTGTTTAATACCAATTTTTCACCAGAAGGCATTACCCATCTTTTACTATTCCTCTGCTGATTGGTGACCTCTTTGTTTTGCTTCTTTCTTTAACTCTGCCTTTGGAAAATAGCTTTAAATTAAGAACAACACAAATAGCATTTCCACATTTTCACCATTAAACACACATCAACAAAGATATACAACTCTGACTCATTGTGCTTGTATAGGTCAAGGTCAAAGGTTCAAAGTGTTTATATGCACAGTTAGGAAACGTGTTTCCCTGCACAATGAAATTCGTACTTTGCCATTCACATGAATGCCACATAATACAAGTGAAATATAAAGTAGATGAGCAATAACACAAATCTGAATAGGCAGTAAAATCACAAATCTAAAGCACTTTAAAGCAGCAAGTGAAGGGAGCAAATAAAAATACAACAAGAACACAATAAAATGCAGATTGATTGATATTAATACTGCTATTTTGTTTATTTTGCTGGTTTACTGTCTTGCACATTGAGAGCCGATGTACCAGAGTCAAATTCCTTTTGTGCCCGTCACACCTGGCCAATAAAGCAGATTCTGATTCTGTCATGTAACTTGGTAAAGAAAACAAATCAATCAAGGCGGCACAGTGGTTAGCACTGTTGCCTCACAGCCCCAGCCAACCCGGGGTCTTTCTGTGTGGAGTCTGCATGTTCTCCCTGTGTCTCAAGTCCACAAGGGACTTGAGACGTGACATAATTATCAATGTTTAACAAACTCTGGGATCTGATGTCACAGTTGTTCATCTGCCCTCCACCCCAACAACCTCCTGGCAACTCTGGTGCAGTTTGTGCATCATTTCATTCATTCAAAATATTGTTGGCTTAGCTAATCCTCACCACTGCTCACATATAGTATGAGCTCCTCAAATAGCATCTAGCTGAACAACTTTCTGAAAAACAGCTGGTTTCTTGATGAGTCACTGACTGATTTAGAGTAAATCAGGTGCGGGTGTGTTGACGGGTGAAGCAAAGCACAGAAGAGTCAGGTGATATATGTTTATGCTATATGGACAGCAGCCTAAATGGCTTAAAGTCCTCTGTACTTAGGTGTACAACATAAATCTTAGCTTTTGCACAGGTCTGTTATTTATAAACTGGGAGAATCAGTTCAGTCTTCCCAAAGATCGCTCACTATCCTAACACCTGGCATAGTGGTAGACTGACGTAAGTTATCCTGCTAGAACACAAAGTCCCAGAGGCTGAGCATTTGAGCAAGGAGAAATTCTCATAGTACAAGCTTCTGGTCAGTGACTGTTGTCACAGCAGCTGGAGGCATGGATTCATACCATTTGGAGTTAAATGCAGGGGCTTGCGTTGTGCTCCATCTCTGCAGCCTTGAGCTGGTTTTAGTACTGAGGGGAAATGTAAAAGGAAAGGCCAACTGAGGTGTTGAGAAGCACGTGCCAGAAGAGCAGTTAGCCACCTGAACACAAGCTGAAACCTGATAAAACCTCAGTTGGTTCACAGGGGGGACAATTTTCTGAAGAGGAAAGACCAGAACAGTAACACGAGAGCTGTTGGGAGCAGACCAGATGTACTGCAGATTTAACAGATTCTTCTTTTCTCTTCATGTATACAAGAAGGCAATAAAGTTTTAATCAGTAATATAATAAATGTCACATTGGCATAACATTACTCCCGTCTTGAAATATGCACAGCACTGTACATGGAGGAGTGGACATGCACTATAGTGGGTGAACATATACAATATAGCATATCTGCAGTTTCTAATTATTATGCTGTATGCATGAAAAATGAGAAATACATGGAGGTGTTTAACCTCTGCTAACTATTCATTCCTCACCCCATGTGCTGCTCCAATATAGGAACACAAACTGGAATGAAAGTATGGGAGTGTGTGGAGGTACGTATATTTGTTCCCCTCTAAAACTCTCCAGACATCATTTTCTGATGTGAAGTGGGAAAAGAGGCAGCTCCCTCTCTTTCTCAGGCATCAGAGAGCACCAGCGAGTCCACCACTACACCCCTCTCCCTGCATTCACTAGTATAAATAAAACATAGATGTTACATGATGGCTTCAAGTATTGCATGAATGGATGCTGATGGTTTTCTGGCATAATGTTACCAAGTTTCATAGTTTCAGAATTTCAGAGTAAGTCCAGTCAGCCACCACCATCTTACCAAACTGGATTTGTGTGAGGGCATCTGTTTGTGAAAGCGTATATCCATCCATTAATGATACTGCTTATCCTGAATAGGGTTGCAGAGGGGCTGGAACCAATCCCAGCTGACATTGGCCTTGATAATAATTTTAAATACAGAAAGAAAAAAAGAAAAGACAAAGTAACTAAAGCAACAGAGAAGTATATGCTCTCTGACCTGGAGTCTCTCTGCCCAGACAACAGCTGACCTCTCCACAACAGGCAGGTCACATCCCAGAGCAATTATCACATCAGTCTGCAAACAAAAAGCATTCTGCTCTCAACAACTGCCCAGTTTGAAACATTTTCATGACATAAGGGGCATATTAAATGTAAATTAACCAAAGTTTGCTTTAACACTGGCTTGAATGACTACCCATTACCCATCTTTTACTATTCCTCTGCTGATTGGTGACCTCTTTGTTTTGCTTCTTTCCTTAACTCTGCCTCTGGAAAATAGCTTTAAATTAAGAACACAAATAGCATTTCCACATTTTCACCATTAAACACACGTCAACAACAACATTGCTTTAAAGTGCCTTACTGATCTACTTTATATTTCATTTGTATTGTGTGGCATTCATGTGGACGGCAAAGTAAGAATTTCATTGTACAGGGAAATGTGTTTCCGTACTGTGCACAATAAACACTTTGAAATACAGCTCTGACTCATTGTGCTGTATAGGCTGGACATCAAGTTAAAGACACAAATATGTAATTCAAGCCATTTTATTTTTTTATATTATGAGACAAGCCCTCTGCTGGCTGATTTGGGAAATGGATATGGGATGTTTATCCAGTTATTTCACAGTCTCCATACAGTTTTGATGTTCAAACTCTTTTCCTCAGAGTCATCCATGCTATCTTATTGCACTCAAATATCCTTCTCTAGCTTTGTGATTTGTCTCAACAGGCTGACCCTTGGCAAAGAAATTCAAAAAATGTACATAATTGAAATATCTGTAGAGAAAGAGGAAATCCTTTTTACTACCACCTAGTGGGTTTGCCTTCTCCTTGGAGGTAGCCATCATACAGCTCTCTGAGGTGGAGGATGAGCTCCTCTGTATTCTGTCCTGTCAAAGCCGACACAGGGATGACTCGCTCTGTAACATGGCTCCTTAGAGTCTCAAGCTTCTTCCGGGCCTCAGGTAGGTCAATTTTGTTGGCTATGATGGCCTGAGGCCGCTGGGACAGACCAGGATCATACTGGTCTAATTCATAACGCAAGTGCTGGAGCTGAGTCCAGGGCTCTGGAGTCGACAGGTCCAGAACAAAGAGGAGGAAACGGCAGCGCTCTATGTGACGTAGAAAAGAGAGGCCCAGACCTCGATTTAGATGAGCTCCTCGAATGATGCCTGGGATGTCAGCCACTAAACAGAGCAAAAGTAAAAATGTGCCACATACATTACTCTGTTCACCGTAACAGCTGAAAATAATCCAAAGCAAGCTCCTATAAAAAATGTATTGATGCAGAACAATAAATAATATGAATCCTATAATATATTAGTGGTCTGATTAAAATTAACTACCTGCAACTTGCTCATAGTCCCTGTACTTGACAATTCCTACATGCGGATTAAGTGTTGTGAATGGATAAGCAGCCACAGCCGGCCGGGCATTAGAGATGGCTCTCAATAATGATGATTTCCCAGCATTAGGAAACCCCACCTAAAGAAATAATGATAAAAAAAAAAGTACAGTTTATTACAGTTCTGGTGTTATTTTCCAAGCTTAAGCTGCTTTTTCTCACCAGACCAGCATGAGCCATGGTGCGTAGCTCTAGCAGAAGAATCCTCTCCTGGCCGACCATTCCTGAGGTTGCTGTCATTGGGGCACGGTTCTCATTGGACAGATAGAATCGATTCCCTTTCCCTCCAGCTCCTCCAAAAACAGCCAGATACTCCTGGCCATGCTCAGAAAGATCTACTATAGTTCTGCCCTCTTCCTTCACCACAGTTCCTACTGGAACCTTTACAAATAGGAAACATCACAGGCAAGATTAGGCAGTATGTGTATGTGAGAAATGTTATAAATATGTTTGTAGAATACATGACATTTATGATCAAATGCAGGACTCACACTAATGAAAGTTGGGCTACCGTTTCGACCATAACAGTTCTTGCTGCCCCCTGATTGCCCATCCTCTCCCTTGTAGATGGGAAGTATTTGCGCCAATGATTTGACAAACCGGTCAGCTGAAAGCATGCAAATAAGGAAGATGAAAGCATGTTTTGATTGTAATGATGCAGAATGAACTGAGCTCTGTACTCTTAAAACAAGCTGTAGTAATGCTTACAAAAAATCTAATTAAAATCACAGATAGTAGGATGAGAAGTCCAAAACTTCACCATCAATAGTATAAGGTGTCTAGCAAGCAAGCAAAATTTATGTATATAGCACCTTTCTAGACCCAAGTTACAAGGTGATTTACAGTAAAACAGAAAAGAATAAAACCAGATAAATCACACATACACAATAAAATAACAGCAAAAATGCACAATCAAAAACAAATACATCAATCAGAGATGTTGTTAATAAAGGAAGAATGGGGAAACTGTAGAATATATGTACATGACAAAACAGTTCCTTGAACAAGATGGACACCCAACTTACCTTTCATAACGATACTTCCTCCATCGCCTCCATTCCCTCCATCGGGTCCACCCCACTCTTTTCGGGGTTCACTGTGAAAGCTACAGAGCCCTTTACCACCTGAGCCAGCCACCAGCTTCACATGGCGATGGTCTACAAAGTGACGTGTCTATGGGCCACATCAAGGAATAATCAGACAACACTCCTAAGATGGATCACACAAGGACAGTACTTCAACAAATGGTACATCAGCTGTAGAGACCCTTATATTCTTAACAGAATGTTAACAGCATTAGGGGAAAATACTCATATGAATGCCACAAACTGAATATGGGATGTAAGTAGTGAGATGGTGTGGGGCAACCACCTTCATGAAGAGGTGGATATTTAGCTATGGTTCATGATAAATATTGTACTATACCGTTTTACACAGGAAATATTTATCACACTCTGTGCAGGAGAAATGTAAACTGAATATTGAATATTCTTCTATATTCAAATGAACATTGAATATATCGAATGAACCTTTAAACAAGAAAATATTTTCCATCGATTTCATTCACACAAAAACATTATGGGTGGATGATGAGCATTGTAGCCACAAGAGAGACAGATAGACAAGGTGACAGATAAAAAAAAAATCATTTGTACAACTGTATTTGCTAATGAAAGTGTAAAACAGTTAGACATATATCAAAAACATACCAGCTGTTTCTCGGACATCTCTCTCTTCTTGGGGTTTCCTCGGGCCTTGGCGCACAGAGTACAGGAGCTGCTGACACCCCTGACTCCACCGGTAACTTGCAGTTTCCACGCCGCTGATACTGGAGAACTAATATAACAGAACACGCGTACTTCTTGTCTTCTAACCTCATGTCCTATTATGTATCCTAAAAATGTGTCGGGAGAAAGCCACGGAGATTTCACTCTCGACAACGTCGCCAACATTATGACACTCAGTAGCTTAACTTTATTCCACTGAAGTTAGGTAGCTTAACCACGGTTTGAAAGTGTCACGGCGACTGTTTGGCTCAAAACTCACGTCATTATTAACAAACAAAACGAGATTCTGTCGGTAAAATACCAAGTCGTTATAATGTCAGCTCAGGAAAAACACACATTTTTGTGAAAGTGTACAGATACATGCAATAACACTGTCTAAACAGCGCTACATACCTACAGAAGACATATACTTATACGCGCCTATAAGAACTACGGAATCCGCGAAAGGCCATTTTCTCTTCTTCTTCGTTTAATACATTTCCGGTAAGGTGTACGCTGCGTAGCCTAATGCTGCCCCCCACAGGCAAACCTCTAACATGTAGACCGGCCATTTCATGAATTAGATTACAAACAAACCAGTGTAAATACTTTAAAACTGCTCTGCCAAGGTAAACAAAGACTTGAAAGAACAAGAATAAAGTGCCAAATATACTGCTTTAGCATATTTAGCACTGTACATACTAAGTCTTCTTCTTCTTTCGGCTGTTCCCGTTAGGGGTCGCCACAGCGAATCATCTGTTTCCACCTAACTATCCTCGGCATCTTCTACTCTCACCCCAATTAACTTCATGTCCTCTTTTAGCACATCCATATATCTCCTCTTTGGCCTTCCTCTTGACCTCTTGCCTGGCAGCTCCATCTCCAACACCCTTCTACCAATATAACCACTATCCCTCCTCTGCACATGTCCAAACCATCTCAATCTGGCCTCTCTGACCTTGTCCCCAAAACAGCCGACCTGAGCTACTGTACATACTAAGTAATACATCTTTATCATGATATGTGACTTCTAACATTTACTTCATAAATATACAAAATGCAGACATACAAAAGGTGAACATTTGTTTATTTTATATAACAAACAGTAACAAAAGACAGCAGAAAATATCAGGCAATGCAATCTTACAATAGATAAGTAAGTAACATTCATATTTGGATTAAACACACCAAACTTGACTTCCTCTTGCTTAGTAGCTCTCTCTCTTTCACTCTCTCTAACATACACACACACACACACACACACACACACACACACACAAAAGACGTACCACCCACATCTGTGATAACACAGTATAAATAACTGGAAAAGACTTGCCATAAATGTTCAATTCACAGAAAAATCAAACACTGACAGATTCATCATAGTATAGAGAAGCCTGTGATTGTCACTGTTGAGTGGTACATATTTATTTAGCTGTTTGACAGCCAAGTATCTCCCATTCTGGATTAACCCTGCAAAATGACTGCAACTGCTGTGTTGTTTTACCCCTCTGAGGCAAGTTGAGTTACTACAGGATATAGGCTACTGCAAAGCTGGACCCTCACAATCACGCTAATAATCCTTATAATTGATCAAATGTAATAAACACCGACAAGTGAAATGACCAGAGGTGTTGTCTAACAATAAATAGATAGATAGATAGATACTTTATGTGCCTGGACACCATCTACAAATCAACCTTCTGTACCTCTTTAACACTTGTCCTATTTTTAACATCATTTCCTTCATCTAATACAGATGTTGCTAATAAAGTTTTCATTGAAAAAAAAAACGAAATAGTACACTTAATGTTGATGACAGACGTCTTCATAAGTCACATAAATACAGAAAATAATTTTTCTAAATATTTCTGTTGAACCCCACAACTTAACATTTAAAAACATAAGACAAACCAACCCCAGTCTTTGCTGCTAATTAAACACAAATAATGATCTAGAGTTCACCATAATAACTGCAGTGTGACCGACTGAGTGTATTGCACTTATTGAAGTAGAGGTGCAGGACACATTGCTGTTCTGTTCCCATGTTCCTTTGGCTTTTTGAGGATCATTTGTTAAAAACAGCCTGAATTGCACTACAATACAAAATATCAGACAATATATACTGTCACTGTAAAATAAAGTGCAGACAAAGTGGCAATGTGTTTTTATGTCAAATCATTATTGAATGGCATCAGAGTAGTGTAACACTATACTGTATGTCTGTGCAGAGCAATGCCATTAAAAATATAGGTCAAAAATACTACCACGATGTATGATTATCAGGGACAATGAGACACACTTTTAAGTCTTGATCATCAGCTATCTATTGTCTATTACCTCAGTAAGACATATGAAGAGAGTGACAATACATAATGTTAGACCACACAGCAACACATCACAGTTTGACTAATACAGACAACCCCCAAATGATCAAGACAGGTTTAACAACCAACACTTTCTCCTTCATTAAATTCATATCCCTTACTGTGAGATATAACTATATCTCTAATGGGAAGCAAGAGCTGGCCCTTTTCTGAGATATATGTCACGGAACATTTCCTTCAAGGCCAGTTTACTTTTTATAGCCAGGGTCTTACAAACCTGCTCCAAGTACAAAAAAAGAATAATAATAAAGTAATAAAAGAAGGGCACACTATAAAGTAATAAAGGCAAAGAAAGAAAAGAAAAATATGGGCATAGCAAGGTTGCTGAGGCTTATCTAATGACTTTACTGCTTCTTTTTAATACCCTATTTAATCCATATGGAAGGTCTACATTAACTACCTGGATTCAACAGGCACCTGACTTTAATAGGGCGACGCTTTCAACTACCAGCTACAACTCTGTATTGAGCAAAACGGAAGAGAAAAGCATCACATCTGACAATTATTTCCCCCAGCTAACGATGATTAAGAGAGGATAACGATCTGATGCAGCCAGATCTTCTGATCCACAGCTGATCCCCGTACATCACTGTTGACCCGTTCCAAGAAAAGCATGTGGCACCTTATTGCTGATAATTTCCATACTGACCCTGTAATGTGAAAATATTTACTCAGCGATTAAACTGGGTCTCGTACAGCGGGTTGCTCACCATTTCTTTTTTGTTACCTCTGAGCGGATGTTTATGCCTAAATGTTTACTGAAACAGGAAACGTATTTAATATTTTAATCTGCATTTAATGTTTTAATCTAACTTGCATTTTAATGTTTTGCTATTTGTGTGCATTGGGTTAAGCATTGTGAACTGTCTTTGAAAATGTGCTATAAAAATAAACCTGCCTTGCCTGTTTTAGGTCATGAATTAGGTTACAGTTAGGTTTCTGGAGGCAGTGGGTGTCTAGATAGTTCCCTGTGTTTCCATTCCTTAATGTTTTAAAAAGAGGCACAAACATGTGCCAGCATATGCCAATATTTCAACTTGGAAAATCTGATTATGATACGAAGCAAAAAATAAAAGCCATTATTTCCTAGTGTTTTAGTTAAAAATCACAATAAATGTACTGCTTTTAGAATACGCACCTTTACATAGACTATATTAATATTTTCACTAATGTGTTGTGTCCAGTAGTCATGTACCTGTTCATAGGCATAGGGCCTCTGCGTCTGCGCTCCAGGGCCTCCCTGGGAGGAGCGGTAGGAGCCATACTGTTGGCTTTGACCTTGCTGATACTGAGAATACTGCGAGGATCCACCCTGACCAGGCCCTGAGGCAAAGGGAAAACAATCAATAAGTGTATTTGCGTGGGTGTTTATGTCTGTGTGAATGTAAACAATACTGTAGGTTTTTCAACCGTAGCCCTGTGGCTGTCCACTGTAGCCCTGCTGAGAGGAGTACTGCTGCTGGCTGAAGGGCTGCTGCTGGCCAGAGCCTGGCTGATACTGGGCCTGCTGTTGACTGTACTGAGAGTTACCTACAGGTACATGTGCACAGGCAGATATGTCAGCTATTAAGTCTGGGAAAAATGTACTTCACTACATTTTTATTTGAGGCGCTTGGACAAACAATGGTGTGAATTTGTAGAGAAATATAAAGTGTCTGAAACACATGGTTTAAAATTACAAAATGAATAACAGTTACCTGCTTCATAGTAGTGCTGTGAGGATTCATCAAAAGACCTCTCATAGCCTTGATCACCATATGAAGACTGTTGATATGAATACTCCCCGTGACCTGTAGAGAACACGGTTCAACACATGCAAAAACTCCTCTGCAAAGGCCAAATCCACTTACTGTACATAGAGAACAGAAATTATTATTCACAGTTTGAAGCTGCAAATTTCAAAATAAAAGTGCAAGAAAAAAGCACTTCAAGGCTTCTCAATTCAACGTGCACAAAGCACAAAGAAACGCCCTGGAGGAAGTTCTCTCCTCCACACACTGCTACAGCGCTCTCTGAAATCTGAAATTTCAGCACACCAAAGGGGACAGTATGGACACAGACGCACTAAGACGAAACAGAACCGAGATCACTGTCTGTCTTTTACATTTTTTCTCAACAATTTTTATCACCCACAATACGGGAAAAAGACACTGACTGGGAGGACAAGCTGAAGCTTCAACACTGTAGTAACAATGGTTCAGACCTGTGGAATAGTGCTAACAAGAAATGCCATGACTTATAAGGTGGGTTTGTGTGTCTGAGAGCTGTGTACAAAGTTTATGGATGTGCATGATTACCATCAGGGTAATATTGTTGGTTTATGGGCTCGCTGGAGCTCTGAGTGTGTCCATACTGCTCTCCGTAGAACTCGTCTTGTCCCATGTACTGCTGTGCAGATCCTGCAAGACAGGCGATACCATGATTGGTTAAACAGTTGGTTGGACCAATTGGCCACTTATACGAGATGTAATTTTGAGGAAAAAGTGAGGATTAAAGCCAGTTGTCTGTGAGAATGTGCTCTCTGCTTAGTGTTGGTGTGCAGAAACTCCAGATTCCACTCATTCCCTTTCCCTTTAAATGCTATCTGAAAAACTAAAATAACCAACAGAACAAAAACTATCTGCAAGATGCATCAAAGAACCATGCACAGCCTAATCTTCCATTCAACCCATGATAGACCCAAAAGTTTTCAAATACAGCAAAAACATCCATAGCATTAAAACATTTTCGTTTCACCTTCTGCAACAACAGCAAACAATCTAATAGCAACATATCTTATCACTCCCAGCATGACTAATTGTCACAGTTGATAGAAGAGTCATAACTACAGCCCCATGACCAATCAGGGAAAGGCTGGTGAGTAGGTCACCCAGCTTAACTATGGACACAACAATTTCATAAAGAGTACTATCTGGAAAAACTTCACCTAGTCATGCAAGGATAATAGGTGTACCAGGACGGGCTGTTACCCTGGAAATACTGTAGTATCTCATCCTTTTATGTATCTGAGTTACTATTTCTGGTCTGCACCTTTCAAACAACATAACAGGACAGATATTATTAGGCACATGCTGACAAAGCACAAGAGATGGAAACTTAATGTGAATTGAGTGATATATCACCAGTCTGCTTCTTAAAGCTACAGAAATGCAACTAATTTACAAACTTTTAATATTACTCCTCCTTTATGATCTGTGATTAATAGAATGATGCCATGAAAATACATAGCAGGAGCCTCCGCAGTAAACACAGCATGTTTAACAATCTGGAAACTTAAGAGATTGGCATCCAGAGTCGCACTTGGAAAACTTGGAAACCTGATGACCATTTCAGTCCAATGGTTCCACACCCACACTTTCACCTATGTACATCACAAACAAACTCACTGAGCCCACTGCCAAACCAAAGAAGCATGGAG